TTTCAGACACCTATGTAATATGTATATGGTTTGCTTTCAGACACCTGTGTAATATGTACATGGTTTGCTTTCAGACATCTGTGTAATGTGTACATGGTTTGCTTTCAGATACCTATGTAATGAAACTGTTTGACCGTAGTGTGGATCTGGCTCAGTTCACTGAAAACACCCCACTGTATCCTGTGTGTCGAGCCTGGATACGCAACCAACCACACAACAGAGAGCTGGGCATCAAGAGATTAGAGACGCCTGAACCAGAGGAGTTGAGCGATGAGGAGGTATAAAGTTTTTCAGACTTTGCTGAGCTTATATCCAAATTAAAAACTGTACCTTGTGATTGTCTTTGTGAAGGTGAATGTGTTTGTGTGTGCACGCTTATATCCAGTGCTCAAAGTTAACATACTATTTTAACTTCTGTTCAAATTGTAGTTTTTATGGTAACTCCATTTTATCCTTAAGTAACCTTCAATAACATCGATATAGAATTATATTAAAAAACAAAGCAAACAAAAAATTCCTATCATTTTATTTTCTGTGTGTTATTCAGGAAGCAGAAGGTCCTAAGAACGTGTATCGTCTCCCTGCTCCCCTTGGTCCAGTAAAGCGTGAACCTGGCCATGCATTCATGCACACTGACCTGAGAGTGCCCTCACCAGTACCTCAACCTGATCTGCCTCTGGATGTACATGCTGTAAGTACCTGTTATCTGGGCTTATCTTTACAAACTGGTGAATGGTATCATCCAAGATGGAATCTCTGTGTCAAAGTAGTGATGATTGGTAAAGAAAAAAAAAAAAAAAAAAAAAAAAATATATATATATATATATATATATATATATATATATATATATATATATATATATATATATATATATATAAAGAGAGAGAGATAATATGCTAACTCAAGCCTGATAGGGCCAAGAACCTTGAGACTTTTGAAGCAATAGAGGTAAATTTTTCATTTCATTTTAAACTTGGTCTAAGTAATGCATGAAAGTTTATAATATGATTGATTCAGATGTCAAATTTCTTGTTTCAGGACCAGGACCAAGCACCTCCAGCAGAACAGTTACTACTCAACCACATGGTCAGATGGAAGGAGATTAGACAAAAGTAAATACTGCATTGCTATCAATATAGAATGACCCTTTGGTCTTGTAGGAGTCTCAACACTCTGAAAACTACATATAAGTCAGCTACCACTGTAAGATATGATCACTTTTGATACAGTCTGATTTTGTGCCAGTTGTTAGTACTCTGCAGTGGGTTTGAGTGTTGTGTTGCATTCAGCTCTTTCTTGTGCCATTATAGCAACATACTGTTGGGGATTTTTTTTTTACTCCATGTGCATTTAACATTTAAGTATATTTCATGTCTTTTAGGTGGAAAGTGCAGTCCATAGTCAATGAAGCTCGTTATGCAGAAAGTTTACATGTGATCAAAGATATATATGACTACCAGATGCAGCAGTAGAACATAGTAACCGAGTGTGACCAAGATACATATGCAGCATTAGTACATCAGAACTGTATGTGGCCAGTGATAAAAGGGCTGCACGATGCATCAGTAGCATTCGAGAAATGTGACAAAGGATGTGTAGGACCAGCAAGTGCAGCAGTAGCACATCAAATCTGTATTTGGCCAAGGATATATGTGGCTACCCAATGCAGCAATGGCACATCAGAAATGTGACAGAGGATATATAGGACTAGCAAGCTGTATTTGGCCAAGGAAATATATGGCTGCACAGTGCAGCAGTAGCACATGAGAAATGTGACAGGATATATAGAACTAGCGAGTGCAGCAGTAGTACATCAAAACTGTATGTGACCAAGGATATATGGCACTAAAAACTGCAGTAGTAGCACGCCACAACAGTGGCCAAGGTTCAGATACAGATAATTATAATATCACTATCAGATGTGATTGGCAGAACGTTTGACCACCAGATGCTGTGCAGCACCAGCACAGGAGTTGCATGTTGAAGTGGTGATTTATAAAATGCTTTGTGCAGTATGGCAACTTTTAGACTGAAAGACCTGTATGTTGTCCTTGAGGACAAGTCCTTTCATTGGAGAATTTAACCACATGAATATGAATAAAACATTATTAGTCTTATTTTGCTGTTGTATTGACTATTCCTCATATTAGTTCACATTTTGAAAACAAAACACCAGAGACAGGTCATTTTAACCAGTGAATTGTTTTGGACATTCAGCCCATATGAAATCCAGGGTGTTCATTCTACAGGAACTGTCTGTATTTCACATTTGTTATGCTGACATGATTGAACCTTTGAGGTACCAATTAAGAAAGAACAGTTCAGCTGCAGTTAAATTTAAAACCTGCATTTTATTTAAATATTAAAAACAGGAAATGAGAACTCAAAAGATAGGTGAATAATACTGTTATATGCTTTTTTTATTCATTTTTAGTATCATTTTACTAATAAAATATATTTGAATATTGTATTAAATACTGTAGTGCACATCATGTTTATCAGACTCTCCATTCCCTAGAGTAGGTTTTGTTGGAGATTCATCATAATCTGTGTAAAGCACAGTCAATATCCATTTCCTTTCATGATGTCATCATTTCATGTGCAACAGAAATGTGACATCATAATTTTATGTACAAACTATTGGTGGGTGTTTTACACAGGCATAACATACACTACAGGTGCCAAGACGTTACCTGCACTTACAACTAACAAGAGAAAAATTATTATTGCACAACATCATTATACTGTAGCCCCTATGTGAAGAAAACTTTGGTTGTAGCATCAAATTCTTGCAAAAAAAGGAAAATGTGAAGTCTTGTAAATCTATCGTTATATCTAAAAAGTTAAATCTTAATCTATAGTTATGATACATTCTTTAAAATCTAAGCCTCCACTATTCCTTGCTTTGAAATGAGCACTGCTGTATTATCCAGTTATTTCAGTTATCAAACTGCATCTGCTTTGTAAAAATGTTGATGAGAATAATGTTCTTTTAGGAAGAACAAGATGCTATCATTTGAGAAGTGTTTCATTGCTGGGATACAAAACAAATATCCATTTTTTGCAAAAATTAACAGGAGACTATTAGAGACGGTTCTTTCTCCAACTGTATATCACCATCTGGCAAATCTTTCGAGTTCTCTTGCAATTAAGTGCATGGTCTGTCTTGACAAAGTACTGGTTGCGCACCCTCTGGACTGAAGACAGTCACTAGAGGGCGCTTACCTTCCTCATCCACCACCAGCCATGGGAGGTGGTGATGGCCCACCTGGAAATTAAATCAATTTTTACCTCAGTGTAATATTTTAAATAATTTCACTGATGCATCAAGAATATGGACATTTAGTGAACCACTGACTATAAATACATCATTTAAAACAATTTGATTGAGTTTTCCTGATACTCAATTTCTTTAAAAAAAAAATACCAGGGTAAAAACAGATGGAAAATCTACCAAAAGAAATAAATTATCTTCTAATATTCAACTCATTAACTGTAAGATTTATTTGAATACCATTCAGTTTTTTACGACACCTTACCAATGTGCTATTCTCTTACTTACCACCACCCCCTCCTATTCCTCCCATTCTTCTCCTGGGGGGCCTGGGAGGGCTGTAAAAAATTAGAAAGAAATAAGCATGGGGCTGGGAGATGGTGACATTCAGAACCCAAAATCTTATTACCGGCCTTGCCATTGTAAATCTAATGTTAAGCAACCAAGTCATCAGACTTAGGTTAAACTGTTTTATTTTCAAGTTAGCCCTTGACAGATTAAAAGTCTGGTTGAGATCATGGAAAACTTGGTATATAGTTAGGTAAACAAAATTCTAATGGTGGTCATCAAATATAATACAGTGATATTAAATGTACTCGTCCCTTTGCTAAATCTTTATAACTTATGTATTTTTAAAAGTTACAAGAGTGGAAACTTACCCTCCACTGGGTCTGTAGTCTGAGGTGTACTGGCTGCCACGTTTTGTCATTGATGGCTAAAAAGATACAAATTATGAAAAATTATCAAAAATTACGACACAAAATGTCATTAATAACCAAAACTGACACCAAAATGTTTTTAACCTTTAAGATAATTACAGGACTGGTGCTTTCATGAAACTTATAAATTAGATTATTTCTATTTTCCTTTTAAATGTAATAACACTGAATTTCACTGTTTTTATAATACCAATTATCATATGAGTTCATTAAAATTGGTTTCAATGTCCCAGCCTTACCGAAATCATCGTCCTAAAACTGAAATAGAACAAATCAACAATGAGTAAACAAAATACAAACAGCACTTACTTCCATATAATTGGTATTCTTTTTATACAAACTTCAAATTGCAATTCATAGTGCCCGTTATTAGGAAACTTCAGAATAAGTTTCAAGCTATATAATTAGTAAGTGGAATCTTCTCAAATCATCTAAAACATTAAACCAGCATAATATTTACAGAGATAAAGTTTCACTTTATTAAACAACAACCAAATGAATTAAATGATCAATTTTTATAATAATATACAGTATATGCACTCTGGTAACTATTAAAAGTAATTGATTTTTCTTTCCTTTGAAAATATGTGCAAAATGTTTTGAATGTAGTGTTGCAGCAACTATTTAGTAGATTTAGATATATTTCAAATCACTATGCTCTAGTTTAAAATATTTAGCCACAATTAAAACCATTTGCACTTCTAATCCTTAGTAAAATGTACATATACATACAAAAGAACGAAGAATTCCACCACAGCCCAAAACAGCTCTGGGATGTAGGACAGCCTCCAGTTGGACCTACTGTCCAAGACTTCCCCTCCTTCAAATCAAAGAAATTACTTATCAAATAATGAAGTAGGTAAACAGATAAATAAACATAAAATACAGAAGATACTCGAAGATCTGCTTATTTTTGAAGTTATTTACGGACAAACTCAATTATGAGACAAGTTTTAATACTGCGCTGCACTAGAACCAGTGCTTTACTACAAGTTCCAGGAGGAATGGTAATTGACGTTTTAATAAAATAACAGTAGCAAGTAACAATTTTTAATTTGTTACTTGCTACTGTTAAAACACTTTTACGATGCTGAGTCAGCGTCAATTACCATCGAATATATTGCAAAAATCAAACGTATATATCAATAAAAAGTGTCATAAAGCAATACATTAGGTCTTAACTCAAATAATCATCAAGTGTAGAGTTTACAAAAGCTATCATAACTGAGATTTGTAAGATTTTTTATCTTTTACTTACCTCCCGACACGTAAGGCATTTTATCCGTGTGTGAAATACGTCACAATTTTTGTGTAAATATCAGCCTCTTTCGAAAGCGAGGCTCTTAAATTTCCCAAACTCTGACGTCATTTCCCCGGCAACCGCATATGACAACAATCATGGCGGCACAGGGAGCACCTGCAGATAAAAAACAGGTATATTTCACTAATTTATCCGCCATGGTCAGTCATGATACTCGCATTACCACACGATAAATCATTTTCCAACATTCAGGCGTCTCAGTTTAATTCAACTTTTATGGTATATTTTTTCAGATATCATAGAAAATTGCAATGTTTATTGACAGTTTCAAACGTGTATTCAACGTTAAACACTTAAAACAGGAACATATTCTAGCATTGTAAAGTATTAAACACAGTCAATGACAATGGGGTGCTAGTAATTTAATCAAAAATTGTCTTTGTGTATAAGTGTATGTAGGTCGTTAAGTCTGAATTGTTTACTTTTGGTGTCATGTTCAGATATAAAAAAGGTTAATGAGTATCAGCGCTTTTGCAATTATATATAAATGGCAAATACAACTTTTTGGAATAAATAATGGTATGTTTCTTTATGTTATTTTCTTTATGTTTACAGGACCAAGCTGCAGAAAAACCAAAGGAAGCAGAAGAAGAAGAGGAAATTTATGTGTAAGCAATCACATGTTTTAATTTGCAGTTTTAGTTGGATATCATATACTGTACTGGTACAGTATATTTAATTTTGTCTGCATTTGTTGATGAATGCACTAGCTTCTTACTAGTACTATAACTGTAGCAGAGGGAGTGTAAAATATATATAACAATTTAACATTAAATTTTCTTAAAATTGGCCATTGACTTAATAGTTGAACATGGGGTTGAACATGGGATTTCAAATTTTAAGACATTATCGAGGTCTGTAGGA